CGTTCACCGGGAGGTGTTTATTGGAGGTCCGACGTTTCGAGTAGTTGATTCGTCTGCCCATCTTAAGATACTGAAATGTTCTGCGCACAGCTCCCCTTATATGGCGCACTTTGTTCAGTGCGTGACCTGCCAATGCCGCCTGTGTGGCTGCATCCAACCCGCATGTCACCGTGACCTGAATCGGCCCCGTCGAACGCGGAGATGACTGACGGCCCCGACTGTCCCGCGCCGTGACTGTCCCCCGCTAAGAAGGTTTGTAAAGTCAGATAGGGGGGAGGCAAGTTGATGTGGCGGTTGACAGAGCGGTCGGTGGACATCCAGGCTACTTGCACTTGCCTTGCTGTATGATCACCGCCCCGGCTCACAATCTCAACGGCCTCAACGTTGAAGATGTGTCCCCTTTGCGCGGCATGGATTGCTACCTCCGACTTTGGGTCCAACATTCGCACGGCCCACTTATGCTCGTGCATTCGAGTTTGCAGCCGTCGGCCGGTTTGCCCAACGTAGTTGCACCTTTCGCAGCTGCACTAAAGTCGGCAAACAACGGCCGACATCTCCTGCTTAGGGATCGGATCTTTTGGCCTCATCACTTACCGGTGGACTGTTGAGTCAGGCCTGTGGGCAACACCTATTCCGAGTGGCGCGAGGGATCTAGCCACGGCTTCGGAGACCCTTTAATTTACGGAATGCTTCTCCACGAGTTTGACTGACCATGCTCTTCATTCCGTTTCTCTGGCTGCCGTCGACTGCCTTCCATTTAATGAGTGCCCGCGTATAGCAGTTGGCTCTGATGAGTTCTTGGAGGAGCTTTATCTCGTACAGTTTGGCGGCTGGCGTGCTGCAATGAGTTTCCTGCAATAAATCACTTCCGGTGAACGGCTCTTCTTTTGAGCTTAGTATATCCTGGGGTCTGTAGGCGCAGACCGAAATATGATGCATAAATATCTGGACCGAAATCCATCAGCCGCAGCAGATAATCGCGCAATGTTCATTAACTGCCGACAGGCAGCCAGCAGCATATTTTAGAGTAAGAGGATACCATAATAGCAGCACAGGGGCTAACCAAAAGCCCATACACGCGTGTTTCATCGATATTCTGCCGCTGCATGGCACAGCCGAGGAGTTCGGCTCATCAGTGTGTCCCCCAGCACTCCCCGTCTGTTTTCTGGTAGATACGCCAATTTAGAAATGGTTGTTTTTTAATTTCCTCAGAAACTGACTGTGAACTACTACTACTACTACTACTACTACTACTACTACTACTACTACTACTACTACTACTACTACTACTACTACTACTACTACTACTACTACTACTACTACTACCACTACTACTACTCTTGTCCGAAAATATACTACTAGCTGCCTGTCGGTAGTTAGTGAATATTACGCGATTATCCACTGCGGCTGATGGACTTCGGCCCAGATATTCATACATAAAATCTCGGTCTGCGCCTGTAGACCCTAGGATATACTGATCTATTCTAAGTACGCAGTTAATTTCTGAGAAAATTAAAAAACAACAATTTCTAAAGAAGATTATCTATCAGAAAACAGACGGGGAATGTTGGGAGATCCACTGAGAGGCCGAACCCCTCAGCTGTGCTATGCAGCGGTAGAATATCGGCGAAACACGCGGGTATTGGTTTTCAGCTAATGCCTGCGCTGTTAGTATGATATCCGCTTCCTCTAAAACATACAACCTTGCCAAACTGACGAAATTCAGTTTGGGACAAAAAGTAACCTGAAAGCTAATGCGGCTGCTGGTGATGAAGCTGGAGATAAATGATTCCTGTTTAAGACTTAACGGGACAGTGATATAAACAGAACTTAAATGGCTAAATATACGTAGTTTAGAACTATGACACTAATCTAGTGTCTAGGGAGCCCATTTACAAAGGAGTCGCAGCTAATCTAAAGTGTAGCAAGTTGGGAAAGTCTCTTACTCATTGACCCCTTCACATCTAGCCACCGCATGCACCTATTAGGCCAAATGCGTACCCATGGAAACCTGCGGTGGACAACCGTCCGGATGCACCACGCCATCGCACCCTCCCCACCAGCACCTTTACCACACCTCCCACTTGCGGTCGGTGGCGTTTTTGTGTGTTTTTCGGCTCCTTATGCACGTGGCTACTGTGCTGAATGCGTAATCCCAGTCTGAGACCACCACTCTGCGCAGACCGCCGTGATTTTGAAGGCTGCCGACCGACGCCTCAACTCAGTCTACCCGGTCGGTTCAGTTGTGTATGCGTTTGTGTGGAGTGACAGACTGCTTGGCTAGGAGTCAGATTACAACGGCTCCCTCTTAACGTGACCTCTGGCACTCACATACATGTGAGGAGTGTGTGTGCATGTGGGTAGTGCCCCTCATCCGACGACTGACTGGTTACCCTGTCTTTGAATGGTGATGGCCCGGGGCTAAGTGCAGGGTTGCTTGTCGCCCTTCAGAGCCTTAGGGATAGTCTTCGTATGCTATGCCACGCTTCAGCAAACCATGGTCCTGGCAGTCTGACTTGCACTGGCAGTTCTCTCGCATCTGGTTCCCTGTCGGTAGGTGCTTTTGCGCTCCCGCCGGGTATACAGGTAGTAAGCATGGCTGCCAAGTCATCCTCGCCATCTTTCTGACCCGCTGTGGTGCTGTTGTTGAGTAAAATCTTGATCAAGTGTTTACTGTGGACCAGGGGTGTGGTGGTACGCCTAGACGCGGATCCAGTCGTACCAACCACTTGCGCCCTCTCCTGCCTCCGATCTCCTTGGCTTTCTCTTGACATTGGGTCCAAGTAGGGAAAGGAGAAGGGTGTGGCTGATGCTGCGCATGTCTACTCCTGCAATAAACTAGTTCACACGCAAGTCACCGTGCCTACTTCACGTTGCTGTTGAGCCGACGGTGGACATTTTCGGTTGCGACGGTCGAACTGACGTATATAAGTAGGTAAGGACCTAGGCTAAACGTTGGTCCAAATATATGAGAACCTTATTGTGAGATGAAAAAGCGTTTTCTTTTCATGTCACTACAAAGTTCCCTCCCCCAGGAGAACAGAGGTAGAATGTGAAAAATGGGTGTGAAGTAGACAAGTGTTAGGCATAATGTACAAGTTGGTAACAAACAGGCAAACGGACACGACGACCGCTGCGCGGAGAGAGTGGAGTCGGGAATGGAAGCGAATGTATAGGATTATCAGATGAAAGCGGAGGCAGGGAGATCGAAGAGGGCATCGTGGTAGGTGAAGAAGTCTGATCTGCTGGGGTCGGTATAGGCCATCTTCAAGCAGTCGATTGGCATCACGTCGGGGTCACCAATGTGAGTAATAAACCGGTCTATCTAGAGTAGAATTAGAAAGAACAAAGTAACCGCAGGAATGCTGCGCTTTTTCATGTCACTGCAACCTTTTACTGGACATGCACGTAACAATACCACAGGCGCGGTCGTCAATACTGCTGGACCAACCACGACCCCCGGCAGACAAGAAAAAGGCAGCCATGGCACTTAAAAAGATAAGCACCCGAGGAAGGCAATAAAGGTGAATGCGGATGCGAGCGATGGCCGATAACATCCAAACGTCTGCCCTCCACGAGAGGCATGCAGACTAACAACAGTCACGTTTCTTCCCCCTCCACGGTTGTAAAACCGGTTGGAGTAGGCTGGCAAGCTAGGCGAGAGAATACGTCTGGTGCCGCGAGAGCGGCGTCCCGAGTAATTCGGCAAGCAATTGTCGCGAGCTGCCTCTTCCTGGCCTGTGCGTTTACGCCGACGGTCTACATTGTGTCCGTTTGTAGCAAATCAGCGAATAAGCTGCGTTGATTGGCTTCATGCCCATGCGGGGCTGGAGGCAAGCCTCGCATGGTCCTTGCAGCGAACCGACCGGGAGCGTGATGCGAACAGAGTGGCAGTGACACAAAGTGGCGGTGACCAAATGGGCGGGCCAAACCCAGGATGTTAGTGATGCATACGTACAGGTACTCGCGAGAGGCGCAGAATCACAGTGGGCGCCTGGTGTAGAGCCACCATACGGGGTGTGAAGTTATGATGGCAATGAAAACAAGTTGGGGCCGGGCCCACACTGCCGCTACTGGGGGTTGTGGCATCAGCCACAGCACCACGTACCCTCCTCACACCTCCCTCCCTCAGCCCTCATTTCAGAAGTCATGCGGAGGGGGCGAGGACCACCGCCTCGTTATTCCCAAGATGAGGCTCTAACTGCAACCCCGCAGGAGGCCACAAGGTGAGTGACAATTAGGCAAGTCGAATGGCGTTCTGTTGAATACCGTTAGTCTGGGTTTGTTTGCTCTCCTTTTACATTTTAGCAATCAGTCAGCTGAGAGAGGGAGAGGGTCTCCGGCGTTATGTCGCCATACCCGGCACATCTGCTCTCTCCTCCAATGTCCCAGCCTTTAGTGTTTTGTGTGTCCCCAAACCCGGTATGTCCGCTCCCCACGCACACGCCCCCTCCCACTCTTCTCCTTACCCTCTACTTTACTGTCCTCCCCACGGTCGAGAAGTCCTACGAGGGCGACGTGCGATCACGTAGGCGACCCAGGTCAATGGGGTCGTTGTCTCAGTAAACTAATTTGTAACCCATTGTGGAGTTCTGCAGACGTATGGCACGACAGCAGCCCTATTTAGGGGACTGTGGTTCGCAGACTGCAATACATGTGGTCGAAAACTCAAAACAAGATGGAAACCGTTGTACTCAGTGAGACCCGGTTCTCCGAAAAAAGGATAACTGGAGCGGGTGCGTGCCGGCTACCTCTTCTTCTGGAGCGGTCATCCCAAGGCAGAGCAATGGGACGCGGGCGCCGCTTTTGCCATCCGGAGCTGCATCGTGGGACGATCGTCCTGTCTGCTGCAGGACATCGACGAGTGCCTGATGAGTCGTCACTTGCCTCTCCGAAGAGGCAACTTCGTCACCGTCGTCAGCATCTGCGCTCCTTCGATGATTAGCCCTGACGCGACAAAGAACAAATACCTGCGTTCCTTACTGGCGACTGTTCCGAAGGCGGATAAATTAACTGTTCTTGGTGACTCCAACGTCCGCGTCTACAGAGACCATGTTGTCTGGAGAGCAGTGTCAAGTCCCGTAGTCTCGACGGCTTCAATGACAATAGCGTGCTCCTCCTACAAACCTACGCAGAGCATCGTCTCACCCTAACCAACACACTCTTCCGCCTTTCGATGCGGAAGAAGGCGACTTAAATGCACCCTCGGTCGTGACACTGGAACCTGCTGGGCTATGTCCTCGTCCGGAGACGAGACCAGCAGGGTGTGCTGGTGACAAAGGCGATCCCAGCTGCCAACGGGTGGACCGACCATCACCTCGTCATTTCCAGGATGAGGATCCGCCTAGAGCCACGCAGGAGACCTTAACTTAAGCAACTCCCAGGTAATCTGAATATTGATTTGTTGTCTCTGCCTGCTCACCATCTCCATTTCAGCAATGAACTAGCTCGACGGCTAGCCAACGAAGACGCCTCCGTTGAGAACCGATGGTGTCAACTGAGGGACACGGTCCAGTCAAGCGGTCTGGCTCTTCTCGACCATGCACTTCGTCAACACCAAGACTTGTTCGACGACAATAACATCGTTATTAGCAAACAGTTAGTCGAGAAGGACCGCCTGCACAAAACCTACGTCAACCGCCCTACCGACAACGAAACAGCCTTCCACCGTAGTCGCCGTCTACTGCAAAAGTGGCAGCGGTAGATGCAGGAAGCCTGAACAGCTCGCAAGGCCGAGGAGATCAATGGGTGCGCGGAACGCAACTAATGGAAGAAGTTCTTCACCGCGACCAAGGCTGTTTACGGTCCCACAGCCAGAGGCTCCGCTCCTCTTCTCATCGTCAACGAAACTACCCTACTCACTGAGAAGACGCAAATCCTGCAGCGATGGGTCGAACACTTCAGAGGCGTCCTTGACCATCCCTCTGCCATCTACGACCCCGCCATCAACCAACTGACTCGAGTGGAGACAAACGCCGACCCCAACCTCCCGCCCACTCTCCACGAGACTATCAGGGCCGTGCATCAACTCTCCAGCGAGCAAGCCCCCGGATCAAACGCGATCCGCGCTGAGATTTGCAAGCACGGCGGTCCAAACTTATAAATTACCTGGCAGCTCTCTTCGAGGAGATGTGGTACTAAGAACAAGTTCCTCAGGACTTCAAGGATGCCATAGTAGTCCATCTCTATGAGCGAAAAGGGAACCGCCAACTCTGCGACAACCATAATTATCTGGATACTCAGCATCGTCGAAAAGATCTTCGCTTGCATCCTCCTTAATCGTCTTAACAGTCATCTGGAACAAGGACTCCTGCCGGAAAGCCAGTGTGGTTTCTACTGTCGTTGTAGCACCACCGACATGATGTTCGCCGCCCCCCAACTGCAGGAGAAGTGTCAGAAAATGCTGATCCATCTTTAGTCCACTTTCGTGCATCCGATGAAGGCCTTCAGCATAGTGACTCGCGAATAACTGGAAAAACATGCAGAAATTCGGCTGTCCCAATGGTGCGTCACGGACAATGAGACCATCTCAGGGCTATTCGCAGTGACGAACGGAATGAAGCAGGGCTGTGTCCTCGCGCCTTACCCTCTTCAGTCTCATATTCTCTGCCATGTTAATGGACGCCTGCTGTGACGAACGTCCCGGGATCCGCGTCGCCTACACGACGGACGGCCACCTCCTCAATCAACGGCGGATGCACTTCCAGTCGCGGGTGTCCACAACTACCGTCCATGGGCTTCTCTTCGCCAACGATTACACCCTCAACGTAACCACAGAAGGGTACATGCGGAGGATCATGGATCTCTTCGCGGCCGCCTGAGACAACCTTGGTCCGGTCATCAACACGGGGAAGACGGTGGTTATGCACCAACCGCCACCCGACGCTGCCTACGTCGTACCCTAAATCAATGCGAACGGCGCCCAACTGCAAATCATGGAAAGCCTCACCTACTTGGACAACACCCTCTCTCGAAGCACAAACATCGACGACGTAGTGGCCCATCAAATTTCAAGGCCAGACAAGCCTTCGGTCGCCTACAGAACATCGTCTGGAATCGTCAGTGTCTCCACCTCAGCACCAAACTGAAGATATGCAAGGCAGTCATCCTGCGACGCTGCTGTTTGCAGCAGAGATCTGGATGGTACAAAAAGCAAGCGCGAAGACTTAACCACTTCCACCGCGGCTGTCTTCTACGGATATTGAAGCTGAGGTGGCAGAACCGGATCCCGGACACGGACGTACTGGAACGGACGGGAATCCTCAGAATATACGCGATATTGAGACAACTACAACTGCTCTGGTGCGGCCACCTCGTGCGCATGGACGCTGAACGGCTACTTAAGGGGCTCTTCTATGGAGATGTCGCCATGGTATCCCACCGACATCGTCTCGAATCGGCACGGTCTCCACCTCAGCACAAAGTTCAAGATGTATAAAGCAGTCATCCTGTAGACGCTGCAATCGATACGTTTCCAGATGTTATAGCCATAACAGAAACGTAGCTACTACAGAGGGTTATTGATTGTGAAATAACACCGCCGGAATACCAATTGTCTAGGAGAGATTGAAAGGACCGCCAGGGTGGAGTTGTCATGTGTCTAAGGAACGACTGGAGCGTGTGAGAAGACAGAGATTACTTACTATAAGGAGGCTATTTAGTTGATGATAAAGGCACGGAGGTCACGGTCCCTTGCATTTGTGACTACCTACCGACCACCGAGGACGGATTCCGACGCAGATACTCGCCTGTCGAAGAACTCGAATGAGATCTTTAGCCGACCTGATATTGTTCTCACGGGTGACTCCAACGCACCCTCCATTCGATGGAGATATGCAAGCGAAGTACTCGAAATGTGCCTTCGATCACCGTTTCCAAAAGACAACACCTAGGGTCTTCTCACACAGCATGTCCTACTTCCAACAAGGTGGCGTGGAGGACATGCTGATTGTTTGGATCTCTTCTCGACGAAAGATCCTGACAGTAAAGACGAGGTATACGGCCTATCTTCGCTCGGTCGAAGTGAGCATGCAGTACTTTTGTGGGAGTACGAACTATATTCTTCACCGTATGCAACAAACGAAACGAGGTCTAATATGTGGGATGGACAC